TGAGCTCGTTCGTGAGGGTCTGAATTCGGCTCCGCTGCACAGCCAACTCAGCCTCCATCTTCTCGTAGACATTGCAGGCCTTGTCGGTGCGCTCACGAAGCTGGCGAAGATCGTGGAAAGCCTTGTTGACCTTGGCCTGCAGCGGAACAGCTGGGGCTGCAGCAGCACGGCGCTTCTGGTCCAGGATGGACTGATGCTTCCTCGCCCCCATCGTGTCGCCGCACTTCGTGAGCAAATCCACCAAATTCTCCAACTCGGGAATGGAGGTGTTGCCGTGATCCACAGGCTGTGGCGCACCCCAGCCTTGACCAGCACCGCCTCCACCTCCGAGACGACCTGCATTCGAGTCGAACTGAGGTCCAGAACGTAGCGGGAGGCCAGGCCAGCCGCTGTGTCCTCCCGCCCCGCTCGAGTGCCAACTGCCTCCCCACGAGGGGGGGGCATACGTGTCGGGGTCGGGTGCAGCAAGGTACTTCTTGCAATGCTTGCAGAACCACCACGACCTTTTGTTGCGCTTGCAGCCGCAACTGCCGCATGTCCACGTCTTCCCGTTAGCCGAGAAAGCGGACCAAGCGGCGTCGTCGTCAGCAGGAGCAGCTGCAGAGCGCCTCCAAGGAGCCACAGCTCTGGGCGCCGGCGCCATGGCTGAGGTGGTGAAAGAATCGTGAGACCTTGCTTTAACCTCCAGAAGGAGGCTCTCAAGCCAGCACACAAATGGTAACAGCACAAGGTGATCTGGCTCAGCAGATGCTTGGGCCAGAAGGGCTTGAGAATTTAGGTTTCCCCCCGCTTCCCATTTTTTTCTAATATTTTCAGGGGGATCGAAAACTGCTTGTTTCTGCGTTTTTTCTCTGCTGAAAGAAAGCGCTGCCAGCGGGTCCATATGGATTTTCTGCCCTCTACATCCGCGACCCACCCGCGGCCCACCCGCGACCCAACAGCGACCCACCCGCGACCCATAACGAAAAATCGGCGCCTGCGGCGAACTCATTGTATGATCCCACCAGCCCTTTAGGGCGTCGGTGGTTTAACGAGTTTCCTCTTCCACCCCTCCTTCCCCTTCGGGGAGGGGTTTACCCCTCCCCCTACCCCCTCCCCACTGACCTGGACAGGGGGGGCCGCGGGTAGTTAGAGCGTCCAAGAACGACCCCTGGGAGGGCTAAAATTCGACACCCCTCACGAGGATCGTGGCTCCTGAGGGGGGGGGCTGAAATTTAGGAACCCCCCTTCGTTGATCGATCTCCTCCAAGATGGCTCCGAGAGACGTCTTGGACCCCCTCTTGGGCCCTGCGCGCGGGCGGGCGGAGCGCCGCCCGCCCGCCCGCAAGGCCCAAGAGCCCACCAAAACGTTCGAAGACACTTCCAAGACGCCACCAGGGAAGAGGAAGATGAGGAGGAAGAGGAGGAGGAGGAGGAGGAGGAGGAGGAGGAGCAGGAGGTGAGGGAGGAGGAGGAGGAGAAGAGGAGGAGGAGAAGGCGGAGGAGGAGGAAGAGGGGGAGGAGAACAGCTGCCGATCATCGGCGCTCTTCGTTCGAGCGCCTGGTGTAGGATGGGCTGATGCGTCAAGAATTTAACGCTTTGTCGCCTGCGGCGGGCTTCTCCAGAGTCTCGCAAACTGCCTACGTTCCCACCGCCCCCTCACTCTTATCCGCATCTGCGGAGTGCTACGTTCTCGACCTGCTCGAGTTGCAGCCCACTGCAGCCTGTGCCCCCTGAAACTTCAGGCCTCCTTGGGTTCCGCCGAACCTCCCGTGGGGGCCTCGGGTGGGCCTCGGCGGTGTACAAACCTCCCATTAGTAAACCACCCTTTAGTGAAAACGGCGTAGGACCGAAACCGACGGACCTGGCCCCGCAAAAGTGACGGCCGCGACGCCCTCTCGCGAACAGAAAACGGCCAATTCGCTAACCGACGTGTCAGTGTAGGAGGTCTATCAACCTCCGAGAGCCCTCCTCGTGGGCCTGCGCTCCAGGAGGCGAACCTGGACCGCCAGAAGGAGGCCGGCAAGCTTCGGGGGTGGGAAGCCCAGGGGTCACATCCAGGGGGACTGTGGTGAGCCACCCCAGGGCGCATCACGATCTACGAGCTGGCTGGTGCGTAGCAGGCCTGGCAGCCTCGCGGGCGAGAGGGGCACATTCGTCGATCACCAACAGCTGAGCTTGCGGCGCACGGAGAGGCCCAGCAAGCACCTCGCTTGGCCGGGCGGTCTGCGTGAGCGTTACCCTGCAGCTGCTGGTTGGTAATGGGCCTCTCCTGGACGGCCTTCTGTGTCTTGTGGGAGTCTACCTCCACAAACCGCACGTCTTCAAGCGCCTCCAGCAATCAACGTGAACCTCAACTCCTGCCTCGAACACCGTGTGTAGCCCCAGTTGCCGCACAGCGAAGTCCGCCCCGTGCCTGGAGCTCTGATCTGGGGCCTCGGCGAGCGGGACCATCCCGTGGAGCCGAAAAGAACAGGTCCCCGTCGAAGTCGACGAAACAGGTCGACCGCCCCACGACCCTGAGCCCAAGGAAATGGACCTCGAAATGAATCCAATAACCTCGAGATGGACCAAGAGCGTCCCAAATCGTCGACCAAGGACGCGCCATGAAAATCGAAACGCAACTTGATTCTGTCCAAGGTGGCCATGAGTGCTACTTTGGGGTGCTTAGCTTTGTGCTCAGAATGACGCAATTTCAACACCTCAATACAATCCAGGAGGCCGGTCTCAATAACATCCCATGTTGCTAGTCGATTCCTGACAACGCTAATTGAGTCCTTGTCTGACCTGGGCCGTCGTGACCTCGAGGGGGTCCTTCCTGGCCAGGAACGGGTCGAGCAGGGAATTATCCCAGTGCGACCCTACCTAGGAGTTGGAGCCCCTAGGAAAGCAGCATTAGTAGTAACAGTAAAGCTAAACTAAAGCTAAGCTAAAGCTAAGCTAAAGCTAAGCTAAAGCTAAGCTACAGCTACGCTAAAGCTAAGCCAAAGTTAAGCTAAAGCTAAGCTAAAGCTAAGCTAAAGCTAAGCTAAAGCTACGCTAAAGCTACGCTAAAGCCAAGCTAAAGCTAAGCTAAAGCTAAGCTAAAGCTAAGCTAAAGCTAAGCTAAAGCTAAGCTAAAGCTAAGCTAAAGCTCGGCCAAAGCTAAGCTAAAGCTAAGCTAAAGCTAAGCTAAAGGTAAGCTAAAACTAAGCTAAAGCTAAGCTAGAGCTAAGCTAAAGCTAAGCTAAAGGTAAGCTAAAGCTAAGCTAAAGCTAAGCTAAAGGTAAGCTGTAGGTAAGCTAAAGCTAAGCTAAAGCTAAGCTAAAGCTAAGCTAAAGCTAAGCTAAAGCTAAGCTAAGCTAAGCTACAGCTAAAGCTAAGCTAAATCTAAGCGAAAGCTAAGCTAATTCTAAGCTAAGCTGAGATGAGCTAAACTAAAGCGAAAGCTAAGCTAAGCTAAGCTAAAGCTAAGCTACAGTTAAGCGAAGCTAAGATGAAGCTAAGCTAAGCTAAGCTAAGATGCTTAACCTAAGAGGCCGTACCTGGGGGAACCGCGGGGCGGGGACTGGGGGAACCGCCCGGGGCGATTTGCACTGCCCGCCCCTTTAAGCTAAGAGAGTAAGAACCCTTCTAGGCAGAGCCTAGGTAGGGAATAAAACCCGAGAGCACAACCTGGGTGGAGCGAGCACGCTGCTTTGGCCGCCTGGACTCTGAGCTTTTGGAGGGTCGTGTCGGCTATCCCGCGGATGCAGGAGCCCCAGACCGCCTTTGCCAGAGGTCCCGTCCTAAACCCTGGAGACAGCGGCCCCCGTTCCCAGACGGTTGAGCGTGCTGGTCATCTTCTTGGCCACTGAGATACTCTCGAGAACCGTGGGGAGCCTCCTGTGCTTCCCATTGCCTCAGTCCCCTTCAAGGTCCCGATGTGTGTTCACGTGGAGCTGGAGGCCAAGGTCCGAGTTGGGGCCTTGTCAGAAGCTCCTGTAGGGCCTCGGGGTCGGAGGTTCTGAATCTGGTCTTGCCCAATTTGGGAACTGAACCTTGTCCATGTGCTGTGCCACCTTGACGTGGGCCTGGACAGAGTGTGACTGAGGTGACGGCCACGTGCGACACGAGGCCATCGATAAGGTTGATACTACGGCAAAGGGATCGAGATCGTGATATTTTTTAGCACTGCCAACATCATCCGCTTAGCTATTCCCGTCGCACAGGAGGAAGGAGGAGGAGGAGGAGGGGGAAGAGGAGGAGGAAGAGGAGGAGGACGAGGAGGAGGAGGTGGAGGATAAGGAGGAGGGGGAGGAAGACAAGCTAGGTGCGCTCGCGTCATATCTGACATCCTACCCCTCTCTCCCATCCCTTACCATGGCGCAGATCCCCTCTCTACTCGCACAGTCGGATGTCGAGCAGGGCAATGATCCCGAAAGGGTACGCGATGCATTGTAGAGCCCGGCATGGCATGGCGTAGAAGAGCACCGCGAGGCGTAGTATCAACAGAGCATTGCATTGCACGCCGTGGCATGGCACGGGAAATGACGCCAGCGCTGCAGCGGAAGCACGAGTCGAAACGAGCGGAAGCGCGGAAATGAAGCCAACGCTGCAGCGGGAGCACGATTCGGAACGAGCGGAAGCACGCCGGAATCGGCCCGGGAGGCTTTTTCCGGGCGCCAGAAGCAGAAATTCAGCATTTTGAAGAAAATGTGTATTGGAATGGCCTTTTTTCGGCGCCGCCTCGGAACTCGATTTTCCAGCGCCGGCCGGAACCGGCTCTGGACCCGGCACGGGCGCCGGCCCGGGCGCACGGAAATGAGGCCAGCGCTGCAGCGGGAGCACGATTCGGAATGAGCGGGGCCCGAAAATGAGGCCGGCGCCTCAGCGAGAGCAGCATTTTGAAGAAAATGCAAGCGAGAACCCAACTCTGGGGAAACCTGTGTGTAACAAAAACAATACGCGGGGGGGGTCGAATATTCCCAAGCCGTCATCAGGGGAAGAGGGAGAGTAGTATTCATATTGAGTAATTGTGGAGGAGGAGGAGGAGAAGGGCCTGCGCAGGCGTCACCTGCATGGTGCGCCGGTGGAGGTCGGCGTCCAGCACCTCGCGGGCGCGGGGAGGCCCAGCGCGGTAGGCCACGCAGGCCCACCGGCGGGCCCCTGCAGGTAGAGAAGCGCCTTCCACTACTCGCAAAAAAAACTGCTCGCAAATGGCCTGGATCCGCCGCGGGGGGGGTACGATCCATTACATCGAGGTGAACATCTGTGTTTTTTTTCGAGCGTTTGCGAGTAGGCACTTTGCGAGTAATTAGTGGAATGCGCTCGGTGAGCAAGGCCGCCCCCGTGGAGTGCGGCTGGTGCCGGGAGGCGCTGGCGCCGCAGGTGGCGGCCGCCTTCCGCGGGGTCGGCACTGGGAGAGGAGGGGCGGGCCGGGGCCAACCCAACGCAAGTCACATCTTGGCCGCGCGTGCTGTTCTGCGCTTCGCCGCCAAGTAACTGGGCGCACGGCGGCCTCGGGCAGGGAGGTCCTGGCCGGGTCGAGCCCGGGCCCGCGATCTATGCACGTGCCTCCCTGGCCGAGCCTGGGGCGCATGCGCCGATCCTGGGCCCAGGATGGGCCTGGCCAGGATTGGCCGGTTCAGAATCCTGAGAGCTCCTTTGGGGCCTCCGTTGTGGTTCGATTCAGAAGGATCGGAACGCCAGGGGACGACCCATGGAGAAACCCAACAAACGTCGAGGAAATGTTGAAGAGAGAGTTGGCCAGATCTGGAATGTCTGACCGTGCACGGCATATCTGAAATGTCTGTTGTTGTCGCTTGCCTCTGAGCCCGAATGGCATACCTCCCCAAATCTTTGCTGATGCGCACCAGTTCAAATGACTTTGGGTGGTGTGGGGCAGGTGGGGCGGACAGGAGCGTCGCTCACATCATGGCTATTTTGGCCGTCGGCGGGGGGCTTCTGCCCCGCTGAAGGCCGCCGAATGCGGGCAACGGGCTCCCATGCCACGAAATTGGCACCCCACTTCGCTACTCATTCCGCGATCTACTCAGGATCTGCCACACCAGGCCAGCCAGCACTGTCTGCGCCAGCCTCACTCGCGCGCTACCCGTTCAAGTGTGTTTTGTCTACGCAGCTTGCCTTACTAACCTATGTCAAGGCTGAGCTGGTACTGGGAAGGCTGATTACAATATAGGCGGTCTCGAGAAACATACCATAAACTCAGGTTTCACACATCCTTATATTGAACCACGCTCACTCTTTAGGCTCTGACGCCTGGTTCTGTAACCTATTTTGCAATGCGCGTGTACCCTGACCCCCCCTCGATTGTTTCATCCCTGCTTCTGGTTGTCGAACATCTATTTACTTATTATTTCCGTGATCTGTTTGACATTTGCCAACCACCAGGCCAGCCAACACCGCCGGCGACAACCTGACTCACGCGCCGCCCGTTCAATCCCACTGCATCCACAGCTCGCCGTACTAACCTATGTCAAGCCTGAGGTGGCACTGGGAAGGTACGTTTCGAGGTAGGCGGGTCCGGGACCCACGCCATCAGCTCAGGTTTTACACATCACTCTCTCGAGCCACGCTCGCTCTTTACGCACTGAATCGCCCGTCTCTTTAACTCGAACTGCCTTGTAAGTTTATCTCGACATCCCATGGATAACGTGTTCACGCGTTAGTGTTGTCTGTCGGGCGGATACACACAGGGCCACACGTACAAACAAAAAATCACAATGACACAAATATGTCAAACATGTGTTTTCCGAAATACGGAAAATTAGACAGAAGGGTTCTGCCTTTTCAAGCCACCTATAATACCAAGCACAAAGTACCTCTTACAAAACCATCAGCATACGGAGGATGCGCGCGCGTTTCACATTGCGTGAGCGTTTGAACTGGGCACGTATACGCACCAGGGGTAAGTTGCAGGAGTGATGGGCGTTCGCGCTGGACATTGCCGTGGTCGTTACAACGCCGTTGCCCGAAAGTTCGGGCAGCGCCCGCTGTTTTCGCTGACGTCATGTCCTTGCCCTGCCTTGTGATGAACGAGAGACCGTCTGCGCCGAATCTTAGACGACAGTGCAATGGCTCACGCACTAGCGCCGCTGCCAAGGGGTGCATGGTGGACTGCGCGCCCCGCGCAAGCCGCGGCGCGCGCTAGCCACCCGTGGATCCGCACGCTTGCCTCCAAAGGCATCGCTGATTGGATCCTTGGGGGGGGGGGTCGCAGCGGGCGTCAGCTGTCGCAGAAGCAAGGCCGCCGCAGCTCGCAACAGGCCCAAGGTACACAAAATTGCTCAGCGCACGGATGCTCAAGCAGTAAGCAGTCCCCTTTCGCGGCTTCTATCGCGGGGCCGTGCGCGCGAATGACAATTGTTCTTCGGCGCTCCCATTCTAACCCGCCCCCCGCGCCATTTCGAACAGGCGAGGATCAACGCGGGTACGCGCCACTTTGCTGTTTGACCCCCAGCCCGATGCTGAAACACAATGTCACGACAGCGCGACTGATGCGACAACTCCCACAGAAACACGCGAATCCCCGCGAAAGCGCGCCCAACCTCGCGCAGGCCAAACTGGTCGCACGTGGCTGCGCCAAACCCGGGCAGGCCCTGCGAGGCAGGGCCCCGAGAGGGCCCCAAGAGACCCAGAGAGGGGCCCCCTGCGGTCAAGATGGCAGCCCTCGTCCTTGACAGGATGGAGGCCCCTTGAGGAGCCCTCCCTAGGCCCTCCAGGAGCTCTGGGAGGGGGCTTCGGGGGCCAAACGCGCCTGATAGGGCTCCGAAGGGAGCTAGCTCTTCGGAGCTCTCTTGGCCTCATGGGGCCCTCAAGTGGCCTCCGCGACAGGGTGCGAGGGCACGGGGAAACCCTGGTGGGCCCCGAGAGCGCCCCCGAGTCACGCAATGCGCGCGGGGCAGTCTTGGGCCCCCGCGCGGGCCCCTTCCGGCGCCCATGGGATCTGCTCGCGGCAATCTTAGACCAGTCTCGGGGTTCCTCGGGCCCTCCAAGGCTCTGAATGCGGCGCCAGCGAATGCGGGCGCGCGCGTTTTGCAAAACAGCCCGGATGCAATCTCCCACGGCTGCCTAATCGCTGCGTTTGCAAAACACCTAAATTACAACTTTTGCAAACTGCCGAACCTACGAAATACCAAAATAATCCCCTCCTCCCCCTCCTCCTCCCCCTCCTGCTCCTCCAACTCCTCCTCCTCCTCCTGGGGGTCGTCGTGGGAGGCCACCGCGGCGCCGGGCGCCTCCAGGAGGCCCCACGCGTAGCACCGGTGCAGGTAGGAATCGCTGGCCGTCCTGGCGCCGGGTGCCCCGCCGGGCGTGGCACCCCAAAGGGACCGGACGGGAGCAGGAAGAGAGGAGGAGGAGGAGTGTCAAGACATGGGCTCGAGGTTAATCTACCCCCGTTGCTGGTGGAGAACCCCTCAACCCTCTCCCCGCGTAGAGACCCCCCCCGAAAACACTTCTGGCTTTCAGGTGATTTTTCAAACGACCAGTGTTGAAAAGAACACTCTGTACAAATGAACACAGATAGGGTAGATCCCGTGGCGACGCAAACGTCGATGACCGTACCTAATACAAAGCGAACGTGTGCGTATCAAAGAGATAACGGTTCCTTATCCTTGATCCCGCCGTATTCTCATGGAGGCACTTGAAGTGAGTAAACTTTCCGTCAATACCTTAATGATGGGGCTCTGGGCTTTGCGATTTACCCCCTGGTTTGTTCCGCGGTGGCGCGCGACGCAGCGCCGAGAACACTGGAGCCTCCGTGGGCCTGTAAGCAGGGGTGTAGGAAGAGGTAGGGCAAGGGGAGAGGGGAGGGGAGAAAAAACAAGAACAATTAAAGCAGAGCCAGAAGACTGATTGCGTTGATGGCAGCTGAGCGAAGCTCGGAACATATAACAAATGACTGTGCGTCGAGAGCCCCACATCCCCATCCCAGTAATTGCCCCATCAAACACCCCCTCCTCACGCGTAGCCATTTGGGCTAACAATTTCATGTGCAGTTCTGGTATTGAACCATCTACTCCCAATTTTGTTTCGTGGCTCTCCTGGCTGTGTATGGCCTTCCATGGGTGACGATCAGGACAGTCTTGTTGGAGATGTTCTTACGCCCGTGGAAGTTGTCAGTGATAATGGCTCTATCGTCGGAGACGACGTCGTGATCCCTGCTGGCCGCCCTCGCCGCGTCAGGCGCAAGGTGATTAGAGATATGGGCCCATCTGCTGTGTTCCTGTTTATCGCGTGCATCATCGGATGGCCTTCGCGTCCGCAAGCATCAGTCCCTGGCGGCCCACCACCGTCGGGCGTCGACTTTGGCGACGAGCACTACCTCGTGGGCGCGATGGTCGGGAGCTGGTTCTTGCGGACCCGCGCTGCTGCAGCGGAGGGAGGAGGCGACTCTGCGAATCTTCCTTGGGTGACGGGCATGGCACTTTCAAGCTTGTCGAGCCGCAGCATTCCGTTTTCAGGTTTCGTTACGCACGAGGGCCAAGGTGCAGAGCTCGTTGCACCTCGTCTCGTTGACCCCTCTTGGGATGCCCGTGGAGTTCTTGAAGCGCATCGCGATTGTCAGCTGAATGGTTTCCTTGATGCCGTGACGCTTGGTGAGTTGTGCGGTCCTGAGTTTCCAGTGTATGCTATCCGATTGATCCCTGATTTGGCCATGTATGTATCACGGCAACAGTATTCATGCTTCTACGCTATTGCAATCACACGTCGCATTCCATCCAGCTCGTGGCTTCCCTTCAAACCATCGTACAAAATCATCCAGAGGTGGTTAAATGCGACGCCCCAAGATCAAGAACATGCCGAACGACGCCCAATTGAACAACGCAGAGGTCCTTGCAGAGCTGCTTATGGTTCTATAGACGTGGTGACTGTGATCAGATGGCTCCGTGCAACCCGTTTTCTGCGAGACTTCGAGAAGCAATCGAACGATGCAACTCTTGCTTTTACTGAGATTTCAGTTCAATGCGGCGCGCTGGCTTCTGAACTGTGTGCGGATGCGGGTGACAGAAACGTTGAAGTTACACGGAAAGCGAGGGTGCGGCTTGACATGGTTGCTTGTTCATTGTTCAGGAGCTTCTTCAAGAGCATCGACATGAGCAAAACGTATATGTTTCTGTTTGCAGACGGTAGTCCACAGTGGCGGGGTACAGAGATGTGAGATGTATGCAGTAAGCATGGATATAGTGACAGACGGATTTCGGCAACGACGGATGCTACCCTGTGTGACCTTGAACAATTCCCAGCTTGATACTCGAGGGAAGGCATTCTCTCTTCTATGGCAGCTGTGGTTGCTTGTTGGTCCTAGCGTTGGTGACCTTCGGGCTTGTTGTAACTGCGTGGCCGCCATTACGACTGACAGTGGGACCGAACGTCTCCTCAGTCACGTCCAGGACTTACTCCCCGAGTTCATCGTTGCTATCGGCGGGAAGTGGGATCCAAAGTACGTTCGCCAGCACCGACTTTTCCCACGAGCGCTGAGAGGTCCTGGTTGGAAACATACGTGGGATAATTTACTACGCCGAGCTCTTCACATGTGCAATTGGTGGCCAACATTCCTCAAGCGATTGAAGGCCATTGTCTACCTGATACGTAATCGTGCCCACAACTTGACCATGAGGAAGCATGCCGAGAACTTAGGCAGGAAAAGCTACGCCTCGGCTCTCCACAACATACATTTGGTCAACTTCGCGAAGTGGCGATGGTCTACACTGCCTCGTATTTGCGAAGCCTTGGATGGGTTCGTCACTAGTTGCATGCTGAACTTTGACATCCGTATCTTCGGCCACATTCAAGACCAGGAGACCAGGGCAAGTCTGTCGACTGGTGGCAGCCTCGGAGCCGCGCAATCAGTGGTTGACGCAATTCAGATTTGTTGCATGGGTGTGCTCCCACGTCGGCCCAGTACTTGGTTGGATTGGAACGTGCCACTGGCATGCCGACGAATGGGAGCAAAGTGGACATCCTTCGTGTTGGTTTCAAGGCAGGCTGTTACCGTGGGCGCATGACAAGGCGATGGGCGTGCTCAACAGTATGCTCCAAGAGTGCAACGCTTGGACGCGCCAGCACTACGGTGGCGATATGGGTTTCACAGCTGATGTTCAAGGAGTCGTTCGGGCATTCTGGGCTCTGGCAAAGCCCCATTTCAAAGCCTTCGACACACTGTCCTACCTGTTGGCGCGACTACGGCAACCAGGACTCCGTGACAGAGTTCTTGCACAATACGACCAGCACCCAGCAGCGCATCACGACGATTTGAGCAATATGGTGCTTTCACGTGGTTCAGCCTGGCGCGACCAAATTCAGAACATGAATGCTGATGGCACTGGAATGGCTGCTCCTCTTGATCACCTCATACGGTCGATGGGAGAGATACCTTTGGATGATTCAGTTGCAGAAACACCACACTCGGTCGTTAAGAAAATCCAAGAGCATTCTCGAGCGTCTGGCTGGCCATGGGCCGCAAGCTCCCTTCGGCTTCAGCAGAACTTAAAGGATGTGACTGATTTTACGTGGGTGGACTTGCAGGAGTGCTGGAACTGTTGGAGCTGCGCTGTGAGGCCACCTGGCTCCAGACGCCAAAAGAAAGCTGTAGCGTTGCCGAGGTCGGTCGTCATTGATAGATTCTACACAGCTTCGCATTGCAGGTTCGCCGCAGCTGTTGGAGGTGTCGCCCCTGGAGCTGGAGGCCCTGGCCCCCCGCCTCCACCTCTTGAGGATCAGCCCGACACCGACGCTGGCGGAGAGCATGATCAAGGTGGGGGCGATGATCATCATGATGGAGGGGAGGGCGGCGATCCTGGTGGTGGCCCTGATGGCGATGGTGGTGGCGGCGGCGAGAGCCGTGGTCGTGCCCTGGACCGGGGATCAGATGAGGTGCGATTGATCAAGCACCACTTGTCCAAAGCGCTAGTGCCGTTGTCCTACATCGCGTATCCCATTGAGAATGCCGACGGCGACGGGTCTCGAACAGGTGGGTTCCAAGTGCTGGGGTTTGAAACTCGATCCATCGTTGTGCCTACGGTCGTCGACACGCAGAGGGAGAGCCTGCTCTGCAAGACCACGGTGCAGGAGATGACCATTTGGGAGGATTGTTTCTGCAAAGCAATCCTTCACCTCCTCCTCCTCCCCTCCGTCCTCTTCCCCTTACCCCCTCCTTTAACTGTCTCTGATGTCCTCCTCCTCTTCCTAATCGCATCCCCTCCAACCACATCCCCCTCCTCTTCTTCTTCTTCCTCCTCCCCTTTCGTCTGTTGACCCATCCCCCCTGATATTCCGCGGCCCCCGCAAGAGGGCGTGGGCCGTGACGGGGGGAAGGAGGTAGGAGGGAGGGGAGGAGGAGGATGGAGGAGGATGAGGGGGAGAAGGAGGAGGAGGAGGAGGGGGAGGAAGAGGGAGGAGTTTTTCTCGTTTGCAATCCCACCGCAGGAAGACAATGGGCAGCACATCGACGCGTACGCCTTCCACGAGCCTGGTGACATTGACATGGTGAAGCTGATTGGCGTTGACCCTGCTTCACTGCCAAATCTTCAGACGTGGACGGTCGTGGAGGCGCCCACCGATGGCTGTATTCGGTTGGTTGAACCACGTATGTGTGAACCACATCTGCCACTCTCAGACAAAGAGGTCCCGTGTTTGTGCCTGGCTCGCGCCTTGGACAGTCAGGGGTACAGAGGTATACCAACGAAGGTCTTTCACGAACCTGGCGTCGTGGTTTACGACAACAGGCGCTTACCGAGCAGGCGCACTTACTTGCAGTGCGTGCTTGCTAGCGGGGACATTTTCAAGCATGGTGTGACTTTCTATTCTGCGCATAGCTACACGTTGTATCATATGTTGCTGGAACACCCGACCAAAGCTGATAGCACGCTGACTGCGCGGCAATTGAAGCGGAAATTCAAGGAGATTGAGGACGCCCCCGTTGTGGTGCCAGCTCTACAGAACAGCTCGGCACTTCCTGCATTGCCGCCTGTCCCGACGCCAAGTGGAACAGACGCCTTCGAGGACGACTTCTCTATATGCGGTGACGACGGCGAGGATGCACCTATCCAGGATGTGGAGGAGTGCCCAGATGGGCACGAGCAAGTGCGTTCGCCGATCCATGTTGCACAAGACGCGGCCCCCGAACCTCCAGAACCAGAGGAGAGGCCACCAAGTCCACCAGGTGATGCTGAACCAGTGCCAGCGGAGCCTTCTTCGAAGAGTTCCTCGTCCTCGTCGTCTTCGTCCAGCAGCAGTAGCAACGATAGCTCGAAATCTGAAGTTCTCGGCGATGCCGCTTCTGCTGC